CAAAACATCTAAGTCCGTGGGACTCATTGATAACCACTTGAACATGTTCCCACTGAGTTGAAGCTAGGCGCCAGGACTCAAGATATAAAAAAGCTAGTGTGAACCCTGCTTCTCCCCGTCAGTGACAGATTTGCAAGACTTGACTGAGCGCGTTCGACAGTTGTTAGAACTAAAGAAAGTCGAAGGGCCCATGACTTCTCTGAGTATCATACTCAATCCCATGGTAGCGGGATTCCAGTATCAGGTGGAATCATACCACAATCGAATGTCGCAGCTCTTGCCACGGAGAATCCATGACATATTGTAGAATCTGGAAATTATCTTGAAGATGGCAACACCGGAATCTGACGACATATTCGTAGACGAAGGCGAAGCTCTCTGGACCTTCTGCAAACAGCATTGGCTGTCGCCTCTCGATTCTCTGCAGAGACGAGTTGATGGGTTCTTATGAAAGTCGTGAGACCCTCTCGTCTGCAGCAGGTCAAGGATTCCTGAGATCTTCGAGCGGCAAGTGGCTTCTTCGAGACTTGGAAAAAAGAGCTTTTCCTTTCTGTACCTATTTTGTTCGCGATCCAGCATGCACGAGGACAGCGAGGAGCACATTTAATCATGTTCCATGTTAGATATATGAGGGGGAGGAACGTCCAGATCGAGTTTCTCATTTGCCATGTATGGGATGCCGAAGATCATATTACATTAGGCTGCTGTCCCTTGCTCGTGCGAGGGAAAATCGAGTCCCGCATCGATCCCGAGTCTTTCCGTTTGCCTACTCCCGTTTGCCGAATGCATTCATCGACCGATCGTTACGATGACCGATGTGGGGGATCTTACATTTCCTCCTATTTTTAGCCATTTTTGAGTCATGCTCCACTTTTCCCAAAGCTGTAAATCCATCTCGGCTCTCGCCCTGCCCTCTTCGCCCCAGATGGAGAAACCTATTCTCGTATCGACAATAAATTGGTGAGAGGTGCGAGGGGAGGAAACGAGTTTCTGGATGCAATTTCAGAAGCTCTCTTCGTGCAACGAGTTGAAGAACCGACGAGAAACGCTGCTTCATAAGATTTAGTTTTTATAAACGAATGATGATCTAGGGCTTTATGTTCGAGTTGAAGTGAAATGGGGGACTTTGAAGAATCACGTGGGGACCCAAACGGTCGAAATGCAAAGAGATGACGAAGGGGAAAGCGGATTTCGTAAAGCTTTGGAATGCATTTCCGGTTTCGATAGGGAAGGAAGGCGAACGATAAAGGAAAAGTGGAACATTTTCAACACGGTTCTGCAAGGTTCCATAGTGGTTTGTTTACCTAAGGAGTCGTAGGGAGTGCTCAACCAGCCAGTATGGTTTCCATGTATAATTAATTTGTTGATTACATGTAAGCAGAATGGGCGCACAGGTGATCGAGCGGAGTACGAGGCTTATCGAGTCACTTCAAGGTCATTGAAGCGGGAAATCAGGTCGGCGAAACGGGAGCGCGTGGAGCAGCTATCGATGCCCTGAATAATTCATCATTACGCCGGCGGCAGGAAGCAACATTCGATCGGGCCCGGAAAGGACGACAGGGAGGAGTTAGAAATAGCGGAGGCATGACCAGGATTCTAAACGATTTCTTTGTTTCTCTGTTTACGAGTGATTCCGATGACGACAATGAGGTCACCTCGGCGTGTGTCGTGGATATCACTATCACCGAGGAAGAGATCATGACCAGAATAGGGATGGGTCCTGCTTAAAGTTTCTCCAGGCCAAGGACGCATTGCACAAAGGTTCACAGATGAACCAATGGTATGATAACACGAGTAAACCAGACATACTGGCTGAGCAATATATTCGACTTCTTAGCAAGCGCGGAGGGAGATGGGGGACAACAATCTTCGTTTTGCCCCTCCCCGCTAAGAATTAAATATTTGTTTTCCTGTTTTCGTTAGAAAGTAGGGCGGGAGAAATTCCTGAGCTCGCTTAGCACTTCGCATTCGTTAATCGGGGCAGGGCTGGCTACTGAGTGGTGTGGTGGGGGCATTTACCTGAGTTAAGGTGCCACAAGCATGCACCAACTTTGGATAATTTAAAGATTCACAACAGGGTCTGCCTGCCTCCCCTTTCGTCTTCCGGGGTGCGACATCCATATGTATAAAGGCTCTTCTTGCGATGCGATGCTTTCAATCACTAAACTTACCTATGGAATACTAAGCTAATCCGCAAAACGACACATAAAGCCCAAGCCATGAATACTTTCTTTCCACCTAAACACTTCCACTACATTTATTTCAAGGCAAGAAGCGGTGTAGTGTCGAGAGGGGTGGGGGTGGGCGGGCACGACATGTCAGGGTTCCCACTCATCTGAAGGCGAGTTGCCGACCAGCATTTTCATCCCAATCTTTAGCCAACCTGCTCATCCTGGCCACCCACACAATATCGGGCATGAAGCACATATTCATCTCCCCCTTCCCAACAAGTAAACTTGACCTCTTCACTCCAAATGCTCGAATGTCCCACTGGGCTCCCCGTTTTCACCGTTTGGCAGTGTCATTAGCAGAGGAAGATCTCAAGGCGCTTGAGTCCCCTTGGCCTATTCAGTATGCGAATTTAATGGAAAATGTTATAATTATGACTCGCAACCAGAGATCGAAAGATGACATTTTTCTAATGGATTGGCCACCTCTGGATATTTCAGATATCAACTCTTTCACCATTGTTATCTGTGACTCATATCATTCATATATATACCTAGGTATATATATATATATTTTTTTTTCCTCCTGTTGCTTCACTTTCATGTCTTTTGTCACCGCTTTAACAGGCAATTTTGCTACCCCAAGCAATGTGCACATTGTCACTAGCCATCTCAACATCCTTCTGTCCTCAATGAATATTTACTCTTTCTCAATCCAGGAAGAATCACATCCTTTTGAACAGGAGTGGGCAAACTTTTTAGCATGCGGGCCACGTGACGAAACACTAAAGCCTCGCGGGCCACAGAAGCACCAAATACGCGAAATTAAGAATAAATTAGACTTACTAACATCTCAGTGGGACATGTGCAGCTGCCCACAGATTGTTATGCGTTTTTCGAAGTCAGGTGTCATTTCTGACGCGGAGATTCGCAGCACTGCACTCAAATGTTAACTAGTCATTTGTGTCCTCAATTTTAATTTGTTGCTGATCAGCGAAAACGTTTGCTCGCGAATATAAGTGGAACCGAAGAGCACCAGCATTGTCTTGGGAAGTTCTCGCAAGTTAGAGAATTTTGTTTCATTTAATGATGAGTAATACTTGCACAGGCTCTCCGAGTTGAACTTTTCCTTGAGAGGTAAATCGCACTGTAAGTCGTTCAGTTCCAGTTGAAGTTCTTCTGGAGTTTTCGCAGTCAAAGGTAGACGGATAAGACAGCAGCTCAAGCTCCTTCTCGATTTTCTTCAAGTAAAAAAAAAAACCGAAGGCAGAACTCCTCACGTAAATTACTCAACATCTTGCTGGACTTGTCAGTCACATCGGAGGACACAGCGATACTCCGCATAATTGGGAAATGCGAACACACGCTGTCCTTCACCCGCCTCGAAAACAAGAGTAGCTTGACATTGGAATGTTTTTAACAGTTGAGTACAGATCCTGCACACACTCCCTTGCCCTGCAGTTTCAGATTCAAGTCGTTTAAATGCTCCATAACGTCCACGGCAAAGGCAAAGTCAGAGAGCCCAATAAGTGCCTTTGAACTTTAGGAAATCTTCATCTTTACCCTTCATTTCCAAGAACATGATTTTTCCTTCAGCTCCCACGCTCTCAACACTTTTCCTAAACTAAGCCAACGGACATTGGTGTGATAGCAATATCGGTGTGCTCCGCATCGATGTCTTCAAGTCGCATCGAAGATTGTACTTGAAACTACGACGCTCTCGTGGCAAATCAAGCACACCGCATTAGTTTCTATTTCCGGGAAGAAATACTTCGTCGTCCACTCCTCATTGAAGATGCAATATTCACTGTCAACTTTACTCTTCTTGGAACCACTCATATTGTAACGGTAATTGTACTCGAAATTTCAGGAAAGTCAAGAATACAAATCACCACGAAGCAGTTAAGTTCAGACACGTGGATGAATACGAGTCAGGGCAATACCGCCAATAGTCTGCTTGGCCGAGCCGGTCAAGCAAACAATTGGCAGCTTTGTCAGAGAGCAAGATGGCTTTTCCTGCTGGTTATGGCTTAGGTTTAATTTTTCCTCGATTTCCCGGAGGGAATTTCCTTACATGTGACAATTCGCTTGTTCAATGCAATGTTCGCTTCACTGCAATGCAGACTGGACAGTCCGTATATTTGATCCCTTGATCCTTGGAGGGGCCCAAATAGTCGTGCTAAGAAGGGTATCAGACCTGTCATCGCGGGCCGCATTTCGTTTCTGCACGGCAACAGCTAGTGGGCCAGTCGAAATGCTGTCGCGGGCCGTAGTTTGCTCACCCATTCTTTTGAACCAACTTATTATACTACTGCTGATGCTGACCACATCCACCATTTCATGCCAACCGTTGCACTGGCCTTGTGGAATAATAATAGGACCAGAATCTTTGTCTTGGCACATGAAATGAGCTCTTACCCAACAATGCTGAAGCAGTTCAACTCCTGGTTGATACAAGCCAATATCTCAACAGTCTTGGGTTGTATAATGCACAGTAGATGGAACTGAGAAACGTTTTGGCTCATCATTTTCACTTTCTGTCTATCCTTTCTATTCTCAAACCAGTGATGCTGTCTCTGTTGTCACTTCACTTACTGTGGGTTTTTCTTTTCTTTTTTTTTTTTGGGGGGGGGGGGGGTGGGGAGGGAATGCTCAAATCCTTAGATTTGTGCATATGGCAGTAAACACACACATAGATCATGGTGATGGTATTAAAATATCAATTTTTTACACTCAATGCATAAAATCCTGCAGCTACAAATTCTTATTGAATGTCAGTAAACACAGTATAAAAATTACCATCACATTACAGAATCAAATTTCAATGCAACTGTTGTTTTACTGCTGCTCATCTGGGAAAAGTGTTTCTTTCCTGCCAAATAGGCAGACGTGTAATGTTTTTCTCGAAAACCTTTTTTTTTTGCTTGGAAAAATGTCACGTCTTCCATAGGTAGTAGAAGTTGATCAACTCACCAATGCTTCGTGTTCGAACCTGAAGAAACAGAAGCTTTCATCATAATGGGAAAATCATCACTTAGTAAGACTAGTTAGAGCAACCAACATCTTGGGCTTCATATACCTTGTATTGCTGAATAAGATAGAATTTCTTGCCAAACATCCTAAGTCCACACTCAAAAGCCTCACATTCTTCCTTTGCCCATAAGCTCAATGGACTTGCTCGAGGATAAGGATTTATCCTCCGTCTTCTCAAGGCCTCTTCAGTGTTATGACCACATTTCAGTAGCTGGTACAGGGCCTATGAATCAAAGCACAACCATAATGGTAATAAAGGTTTTATCTTGGCCTTTTCCATTAGTGTAATTTTTTTTCTTTCATGAGCTTTAACTTTATATAATGCTGGTGTAACTTTTCTGAGAGCTTTCCTGAACTTTCTGGATAACTATTTTTTCCATTTTTGGTTTCAAATTTTTCCAGAATATGAGAATATCAAGTTAAAGGCTTCAAGGCATGATGCTCAAAATTGCTCTTCCCATTTACTCTTCATTGTTTCAGTTAGTCTTCTGAGCCTTTAAGTCTATGTTTTTCTGTTCCATTGCAACCCCTTTGCTTACCCTGATGAGATGCAAGAGTGAAAGTGAGGTATAGGAGAATCATAGCTCTTCTTTAGGGAGATATTGGATGGCAAGCAAAACCAAAAGCATATTGCTCAAAATTTTTCTGCAAGTGAGACTAGTAGTAACTTCTTATTCAGGGATGTGGAATAATGGAGATGGCATTTTCAAAGTTTGATACAAGGTTAAGCTAAGGAGCTAATCCTGCCACCTTTTTTTATTTAATTCCCATAACTTTCAGACTTTGAAAAATATTATTTTGTTTTTGCCAGAATTCTTTAAGAATTATGAAACCAGACACTTCCATCTAACATTATTCAGAGCAGAAAAAATATGACAAAGAATAGTGCCTCTTGACATTCACATGCTGGCATATTTGGAAACTTTGATGACTCCACATTGAAGGCCAACAACAATTTGGGAATGGAAGTAATAAGAGTACACTGTAAAAACTAACTTCTTCATTGTCAGGGACAGGATATGAAACTATGTCAGGGGTTGGGCTGGTGAGAGATGAGGAAGCAACTTGTTGCAGGTAATCCTCAACATCCCTCTCAGCCAATGCGGATGGATCCCACATCAGGGCATCTTCATTTTCATATGACGGCACCTCTTCATAGGAGCTGGAGCCAATAGGTATTTCAGCTTGGTAATCTGGACCAATCATGGCTTGGGTCTGGCGGGAGTGCTCCCCCATAATACTATTTCTTCCCCTCTTGGATTTTTTCATGCTTTGCTATTTAATATGGGCCCACTGACCAGCCACTAATAATGTAGGAATGATGAGACCTGAACAACAATGGTCCTATGGATGAGTGATCTCTTTATGAAGACTGGTCTACCTTCAGTGACAAGGAAGTGAAGCTCTCTCCTGCCCAAGATAAGAAGATAATAGGAGTCTTACTTTAACCTGCTCTGACATATACAGGGTGGCCCAAAAGTAACTTAACACTTTCAAGTGAATATTTTGTTTTGATATTCATACTCATGGTTTGTAATGTAAAATTCTGTATACGCTGTTACAGGTTTGAAGATATCACTGAACCTTTAAGACATCACGCCCAAGTAAGCAGCAACAAATTTTTATTAATGTGTAATTTTCATATCAATAAACTTTTGGACTTGAAAGTGTCAAGTTACTTTTGGATCATCCTGTAGATAAGAGTGCTGCTGTTATTTCTTGTCTCTTTTTGAGAAACTTTCACGAGGAAAGCAAGGATGCACCAGTGAAAATCTTCCAAATGAAGGTCCTCCCTGACCAATTCATGACTTTGAAGCAAATAGTCAACAGTAATGTCAGCCAACCACACTACCCTCTACAACATTGAACTGAATATAACCAAGAAAATCTTCTCTCCCACAAAAACTACTCTCAGCAAAGAAGTGTGCTTCCACTCTAGTAAGAGGGAAATGAAGTCCTTAATTGGTAATGAGGGAATGAACACCAATTTCATTGCTGAGGGATACATTGATGGACCAGCCTTCCACACTGAGCAATGAATAAATTTCAGGCATAAAATGCATATTTAGTGGCAGTCCCCATGATATTTGCTTCAGGCCAGAACCTTTTCATTAGTCAAACAAAGGGATGTACTTGCAAACTATATGGATTCAGTACAACCAACACTCTATGTAAGCATCAATGCAAGGGAAGAAGTCTGTGGATGTTTGTTGAAAGTTTTGCTGGGATAGCCTTGGCTATTGCAACATTGTTGTGTTTTCTCGCCTTGTAGTTTAGCAATGTATCAATTGGAAATGTCCTGATTTTTCATCAAAGAAATTAATTATACACCCTTACTTCTCTGTTACATGACCACGATTCAGATCCAATACAGATAGTGAAACTGGCATAGCATTCTAAGCATAATGCACAGTAGCATTATAGCAAAGATCTCATATTTGGGAAACAGAGATAACCTACACGGGAAAACAAATCAATAATAAGGGAGTCCTATGGCACCAATGTAATAATGTGCAGAATTACAATCAGAATAAAAAATCCATGATTTTTGCCAACATTTATTTCAAGGCAGACTTTCAAGGGCTAGTTTATACCATTGACAGTACTCCTTACTGTAGAGGGGACTGCACTTTGTTTCAGAAACTATCAGTCTTATTCATAAACATTCATACTGTCAACATCCCACGAATGTGAGAGGTCAATCTAAGGGTAAATATTTATACTTCACAATTGCTTTTTTGCTTGTAACTAATGATAAAATGGTAATTTATGCATGGCAAGCTAATTTTTAAGGGCGAACTCATTTTTCCTTACATTTTTGAGGCATGATACCCCACTATACTTACTCTTTTTTCCACGTAAGGATTTTTACACACTCCATAAAATAGGCATGGGGAGCAAGTTATAATCACTTTTACCACCATGGCTGTACTTTGGATGTTGAACAAATAGATATCCACCTTTCATTCTAATTAGTTCAGTCCTAAAGTTAGGCGCTTAAGCATGCCGCAACGGTGGGGCTAGACCATTGAGTAAACATGGATAATAACAAATCCAAATATGTGAGACTTTCGCCCGAGGATAACATTGGAAAAGCTAAGGATAAAATAAGGTCTTCTTCCACCAGGCCCCTGCCGAGGCCAGGAGCGTTCACACGAACCACGTGCTCTTCACTGAGTAGGGTGAACGAAATGTTTCCCTCGTCTCTCACGGGGCGAAAACAAGCAAGGCGCCAAATCCCACGTGCAGGCAACGACATACAACCCAGGGCTGTGGAATCAGAGCGAGAACTATCTGGATCAGGGTCTGTAGGCGCACAAAATTATTTTAAAGAGTATATCATACCTTGAACTGCAAACCTAAATTTAAAAAGAGTTGACTCCATAAAAATTTTTGTTTCAAAAAGCGTTTCTTCTTTCCTTGTCATGTCGCAGTAACAAACTCACGAAAAAGAACATGTGATATTGGGGCATTATGTATGGGCAGGGAACAGCTATGACATATTGATTCAGAGAAGTGAGATAGTATGAGGCAGATGAGGATTATTGAGGGGATCATTTAAGTGTTGGGTTAGCAGATCCACCGTGGTCGCTATATAATATTAATTTACATAATATAGTTTTTGCATATTGTTTTTGTTTTCCTTCTTCATGTATTCTACCAGCTTATTTAACCTGTCAGGAGATGAGGCTAGTTAGTTCGATCACATCAGGTCAAGGTGTGCGCGAATCCAATATCGTTCCCAAGATAACGAGCAGGCATACTTACGAGAATGTTTCTTCGTAACAGAAGAAAGTATGCGCAACACTGCAGCAGACGACGTGACGTTCTGACCTCAATATGGCCACGGCCTCCTGAACAAGCAATATGGGAATTTCACGGTCCAATGTAACCTTGGCATAGACTTAGACTGGAGGATAAATCTGTAGTTTAAGGCCTAGGTAAAAATAATTTATTATTATAGTAAAACCTTTACAGGTGTACTGCCGTCGACTAGTCAATCATTGACCTTGCAAGGGCTTGTATGACTTAGTGTGTGGCATTTGTCCATGTTACTGACAGGTGTATTGATGCTGTTATGATGTCATCGAGCTTCAGAGAGGCATCATGGAGGTAGCGCTTCAGTCAGACCTAACGTTACTTCTCATCAATCTCCATAGCATGCGGAAGAAACTGCTATGAAGGACTTCAGTAGGCACTGACGTTACTACGTACCTGACGTATAATTTCAACATGACCTCCAGCGGTAAACCAGTCATTCAAGAGACTGTTTATGGAACTGGTGACGACTCTCATATGGTCATGTCTGAAAAAGTGCAATCACTTGCTGGTAGCATTTACCAAGAATTTGAGGCAATGATTGCCAAATATGATGAGGATGTGGTGAAAAACTTGATGCCACTGGTTGTGAATGTGTTAGAGTGCCTCGATCTGGCATACACAGAAAACCAGGAACATGAAGTGGAACTGGAGCTTTTGAGAGAAGACAATGAACAGCTAGTGACGCAGTATGAAAGAGAAAAGCAGTTGAGGAAAGCTTCAGAACAGGTGGGTGTGTGGGGTTGACATGAGTTGATTCCATTCATTACCTTTATTATTGCATTTCTTATTTTTTCATGTATTTTCTCAATAGAAATTGTTGGAAGTGGAGGATGCATTAGAAGAGAGCATCAAGGAATTTCAAGAGAAGACAGAGAGCTTGGAGTCCATTGTGCGGATGCTTGAACTCAAGTCCAAAAATGCATCTGATCATGGTGAGGTACACAGGAAATTCAGTTGTGTGCTGTCTATCTCTATCATGTCCTCTATCATGAACTTAACTCTATCGCTTAGGCATATGGAAAAATGTCTAGAAGGAACTATAGGGTACTCTGAAAGTTTCAGACCCACCCATGCAAAATGTGGCTAAGTGTTATGCCAGCTATAGTGAAAACATTCTGCTTATCTACATGTGCTACATGAAGATCTGGGCAATCTGCTCAGACCAAGAAAAGGCTGTGCTGATGCAGAATGGAGGCCCATGCCTCAGAGGCTTGCTTCATATTCCACACCATCCAAGAAAATATGGTATGGTTCTAGAAGAATTTATCAAGGAACTGTCCAGACCTCAGCATTCAGAACACCTGTGGCACAGGTTCCAGTAGAGTGCTCTGTGTCAACCCATCCAATAAATTGGGTGTCAGTCATTACCAGGGTTGTAAGTGGAGTGAGAAACAAACAACAAGCATCATCTGTCTTTTGGTTAAGAGATTTGGGACATAGATCCAAGGTTTCTTTGAGGTCTGTAGAAATCATATCAAGTATTGATGTAGGAGTTGGTACCATGGGTATTCTTGGCCATGTGGATTGCAATTAAATCAAATATTTCTGTCAATCTTGTCTCCACCTTCGTTTTCGTGGGTCAGAAACTTTCGGTACACCCTGTTTGTGGTTATGCCCCTGGTGCCATTGAGATATAATTTAAAGCTTCTCAATGACTATTTTGATTACTGGCACTGCTAACCAATATTAATTTACAGAAATTTGCTATTAATGTTGAAATCTATGCTTCCTCTTTTTTTTTTTTCTTCTAATCTGTGCATAAGATTTTGTGGACTGTTCAAATTGATTTCTGTGTTGGTTATGATTGATAAACCTAGGTGAAGTATAGAGCTTTAACTATCTAATCCCAAAGAAAATGCTGAGGTCTCCCCCAAGTTTACTTGGTAGATATAGGGTGACATGCACCATATTTGTATAACTTTAAACTGATTCCCATAGGGATCCATTGTGAGTTCAGATTAGTTTGGCTTAAATGGATTTGGTGCATGTCACCCATAGTCTATTCTTTTCCCATTCAATGTTTGAAATTCTATGCTAAAATCATAGCTAATTCTATATCAATGGTGATATTTCTTCACCTCCTTCCCAATTCAGTAAACAGTTCATGAGATAACACAGAGACAACACAGTAGGTGCTGTGATGGGCAATATATTGGATGTGTGTAGTTATTCTGAGACATCAGTAACTTACCAAGAGATCCTGGATTGGACTCAGAAATAAATCATTTATGTGATTGACATGGGATTGTCAAGGAAAATTGAAAAACAAGTTAACTCAGGCATGGGAATGGAAAGGATAAGGGGAGATGGAAGGGTCCATCCCTCCTGCAGCTGTACTGCTGCTCATTTTTTACAGAATTTTTATTAAGTCACTGTCATTAAGTCAATGTGCTATCTGTAGGTTGAGTGTGGATGGATATCCATTTATAAATGATCATATCAGAATGAAGATGCTCTTTTGACTAAAATAAAAGGAAGTCTGAGTTTTCCATTGCATATGCACTTGCAGATAGAACCTCTCAGATTTTGCTCCCCCTCCCATTCTGCCAACTCTATCATTAAAAATAGTGAAACTTTGAACTTCCAATTCTTCTGTCTTCAGGTTAGCCCATGGCTAAATTATACTCAGTGCCACAACACCTATTTGTTATAGCTCATTCAACTTCTTATTTGCATTTCTTGCATTATAGAGTGTATATCTTAGGCTGCCACAAGAAGTGGAAGTTATGGAAGATGCACTTCCAGATTATTGTATATGTTTTGAAATGTATATTTCCACCTTGGTAGCATGTCGCTTAGAGGAGAAGGAAGCTGAAATGAAGGCTGAATATAACAAGTTACATTCAAGATACACAGAATTGTTCAAGACCCACATGGATTACATGGAAAGAACCAAGATTCTGACTGGAACAGATCGCTCAGAACACATGGGTATGACTTTTACCTGAGGATTATGGAAATATTTATTAATAGTCTGTGGCTACTCAGTCTAGTCTATTCTTGGACTGTTCAATGAATTAGTTCAGGTGTTCTCTACCTAAAGGTCATGATGGAAAAATGTTTAGAATTTGTCATGTATAATGTTTTTCCACCTGCATTCTTTTTTTTTATCAGCCAAGAGCCTTTCAAATGGGTAACAGAATAGGCAAAATATTGATTGCTCTGTCAATCTAGTAGGAAACCATTCTAGTGCATTTTCATGTAATGGAATGGAATAAACAGGAAGAAACAGGTTTGATGTGCCAGAGCAGATGAATAAATTTACAGACTACAGAAAGCCAAAGGTCCATCTCCTGGACAGGAATTTACTCATCAAAATTGGAAATGAAATGCCAGTAGCCCTCCCCATAATTTTTCTTGTCTGGATATATTTCTTGAATTACAAATGTGTAAACTGCAAAGTTCATGAGGACTACAATTTCTCTCTGAAACAATGCCTTGGTTTTCCACTTCTCCATCCTCTTCCACCACCTTCTAATACTCTCCAACCTTCTATTGGGACAGGTTATAGATATACCAGACTTGAGAAGTATAGCACATCTTCCCAGATAAAGTATTAGTTAATCTTTCCTTTGCCATTGCTTTCACATGATAGGGAAAGCCATGTGAATTAATAACAATTTGCATAAAAATTAATAAGCAATTGGGTTTTTTGAAAATCCTCAGGTGTCACCTAATGAATTAGTGGAGTTTTGTGGCCATTGCTCATTTAGGTTGCTTTCTGTGTTCATCCATTCTTAGCTTTACACATGGACCAATAATTACATGTGGATGGTTTTGGTAATATGAATTGTGTTATTTATGTTGGTGCTTTTGACAATCGAGTTTGTTTGGTGTTTTTTTCTGGTATTTTTCTGCTCCAAGGCCATCAAAATCTGCTTTCCATGATTATTTATAACATGTTTCATCATGCAATTGTAAATAATAGTGAAAAGCATATTTAATCATTTACCTATGCTGTCTTTAATGAGGTAATATTTTTATGCTTTTTTTTTAAATAAAATTTTTAAGTGTCATTGGTCAATGGTGATGATGTGGAATGCCTGAATGTTCTGCATATTATATGTACTTCATAATAGGGTCACTGAGAGGCAAGGGATCAGGAGCTATGAATATCCCCTTCCCAAATCGGATGTCTCCTTCTGGTCTACTGTCCTTCGGATTCAGTTCCCTTGAAAATCAATCAAAGTCTTTAAATAGCCACCTGGATTTTATTTCCACTCAGAGGAACCTGGATCCAACACAAAACTTGAAGAGTGAACTTCAAGTAAGTTTATGAGGATTGACTATATTTGAGCTCTTGAGAGGTTCTTACTGAAGTTAAACTATAAGAACCCCTGACCTATCAGCACATTGAAGACTGGAAATCATAAATACTATTCTAAAATTAGCCAGATTTGTTTTGTTTCTCCTCTCTTTTTTCAAAACAAATATCTGTGCATCTTCACTTTCATGCCCACTGTAATAAAAGTTTAACTGAAAGTCAGCTTGTGATTTAGTGCATATGTTCTTCTGGCTATGAGGATGGTAAAGGCAAAAGAGTGGTAATGTGTCATCAAAAATTTTCAAATAGAAGAGGCAAAGTTTGGATTCTGTTAAAATTGGGACTGTACTGATGGCCACATTTGACTAATAGCTTATTATGATCTCATACCCACCAGCTGATGGCAATGCTCATGCCCATTGGGATATATATATAATGAGTGAAGAACCATATGAAATACAGGGTGGGCCAAAAAAAAACTTCTGTTTTCTTTAACACTTTACAGTATAGTTTCTCAGGAGTTTGAAATATTGTGATGATGTCTCTATATAAAACATTTATCTAGCTGTCCATTGATCTCAATAGATTTAAGATCCAATCCATCATTCCGATGCAGTTGTGCACAGTGTAACAGAGGTAGCTCTTGAAAAGTGCACTTAACAGTTCCCTACAAGATGTGCTCCAAATGACATCCATTCCTTTGATTATGGCAAGTAGGTGACCTCTTGCATACACTAGCTAGGCACCAACTTTTCCAGTGCCACCTCTAATACACTTAATCTAACTGCATGACAGTCATGTCATGAATCTTCATTCTGTTGACATTGGAAAGCTGAATGAATGTTCTATAGAGAGGCACTATTGCGATTTTAGCAAACTTTTGGGAACCAGTGCTGAGGGGTGATAAAGATAACTGAAGTTTTTTTGGCTCATCCTGTACATATTCAAACAGACCTGATCCATTTTATACTATTTTTAGGGCTTCATGATGGCTGATTTAAAAATGTCAATGTATTAACCTGAACTATCATGAGAATGCATCAGGGGGAGGAGGCATGGCAGCAGATTCAGTCATCTCTTGTCTTGGTGGGGCATGTGACCATTGAAATGGGTGGTGAAGTTATCAATGCCCCCAACTATTGATAGTGGTATTGATATGTCAATTGATATATATATCATTGATATATCATGGCAGCCCTTCATTTTTCCTTATGTTGTTATTAACTGAGAGTTATCAACTGAGCGGCATTCTCATGTTTTTTTTAAATTACTTTTTCTTGTTCAGTGCATTCTTGTTCAGGTATTGGGATCGGTAGTTTGCAATCCTCTCATTAGCTGATGGCACTGATGGTGCCATACCAGTGATGAAATTATTGGTGTGCCCCAAGTTGTGCACCCCTATAAATGTTTTAAAGTTATTTACTGTTATTGCATATGTAGAGCATGTGCATGGCTTAATGGGTTTAAGGACGGTTTCACCCCTGCACTCTTTGAACCTTGTGCTGGAAGATCAGCAGAAACTCCAGAAAGCAGTTCACCAATCCTACTTAATGCTGTTGAACAATGCATAAACATGTCTATGCTCTGCTTGTATTACCATACATAGTTTTCAATCATTGAAGCTTATTTACAGCACTTTCCCTCACATATTTTGGAAATTTTTGATGACACTGCTATTTTCTACCTTTGCCATTTTTAATACTATAGAGATGTGATCATTGTAGTGTCTCCTATCCTAAGTTGACTTTTGCTTTAGAACTTTTTTCTGATATGACATGAAATTGAGTGCATTCAAATGTTTTGGATGAAGTGATGAGAGAAATCAAGTATTGCTGGTTAATTTTGGAATACCACTAGTATTTTTTATGTGAATCACCCAGGATTCCTGATGATTTGCAGTTTTTACAAGTAGACATCAGTGCCATGAAAACATGCTCTTGAATCGATTTTGTCTTGGTGGTGCAACTACAAGCTTGTTGAATTACTGATCCTCAGGACCCATTTTTGGTGTGAGAGTATCTAAACTGATATGAGCTGGAGTGAGACTTAGTGATAAACAAATTCAAAAGTGAAATTCCATGTTAAATGACATTGAAGAAAACTGGATTCATGAATTAAGAGCTTATTCACTATGCAATTTGCGATAAACTTCAGGTTCACTTATAAACCTTGGAAATTTTTTTTTATTTTCATATTATATGCCATCACAGGAAGGGGGCACTGCCGAGGACAAGAAGAACATGCTGGAAAGAGGTTTGTCTTTGTTGTTTTTTGTTCCATCGCTTTTCAATTTAATAAGTTGCGTTCAGTTGTGATCCATGTTGCAACTGTTGGTTCAAGGTTTTGACTTTGTGTATGCATGTCAGGAGGCATGTCTTACCTTATTGACACAGTGAATGAAGATTGCCAAGATGATGAAATTAGTTTTGACATCCCTGGGACCTAAGAATCTTGAATTAGGATAAGAAGTGAGTCTTATCCATAGTGGAGGCTGGGAATCAAGTGAAATATAAAAAATTACCACCTTTAGCTGTTGCTGAAAGAAAACTGTTCATCTAAATTTCATGAAATTTTGGTGCAATACATTTTAGATATTTCTCTAACGGTCTCAGCAGGCCGCATGCAGCCTGCGGTCTGCAGGTTGTGCATCACTGCCCTAGCATGTTGAGCAACTGTGAAAATGTATTTCTCTTATGGCCCCAGAATCTCAACAAAAAAAAAAGAGATGTAATAAGAGACATACAACTTGTTTGGCATAGGGACAAAGCATAGCAATGAACATGGAACAACTTGAATTGGCATCTTTGGGCATGCAAAGCATATTGACATATCCATGTGGATGTAATTATGTGCCATGGTTATTTGAAGAACATAGGTTATGAGTTTCTTCAATTAATTCAAACTTTTTCCCATTCACCTGGAAACCTTAATGAATATGCAATAACACAAGCCATACTCAATGGAAATGTGATGGATATGTGAGAGTAAAAGCAGTAGAAAGTTTCAGTTCATCAGTTAGTGCATTAGTGATGACCTGGATTCTAGTTGGATCTCTCAGGACACTCAACATACTGCTGTAGTTCATGTAGGCACAACACAATGACTATAGCTGTCTTATCCCACAGAAGGTCTACAAGGATGAAGGCATCTTGTCCAGTAATGTTTAAAAATTGTTTTCTGCTATTGGCTATTGCTCTTAATACTGCAGCATTCCCTACTCTCTTAACACTTTCAATCCTACGGACATTACTGTACGTCCAGTCCTAATACCATTGGACGGAAGTGGATGTAATTGTATGTCCTTTTAAATTTTTATCATGCTGAAATAATTTAACACAATAAGAGAGAACTTGTACTTCTATATCCACTAAAAGCAAGTCTCTATCATTTTGTATTCCAAAGTTATGTATTTTTTTGTAGATCGCAAAATAACCTCAGTCGCCAACCCTCCAGGACAAAAGTTTTAACCACTTATCAGTTTTGGTTTTTTTCACAATGAGTTGAACCAAAAATGTCAATTTTTTAACTTGTAGATTTTGATTCTATAGACTTTGTTTGAACAAAATATGTATGAGTAACATATTTTATTCATTTATTTGGGCAAATCAAGAATGAATTAACAAAATATGAGTCGCCCATGTCTCATGCTGGGAAGTCAGTTTTGGGAAGGACAATGTCACCTGCATCAGAGATGAGCAAATCATGGATGCAGTTAATACCAAATGACAGATTGCTTGAGAAATAGCAAGACCGCTTTGGGCAAGCTTGGTTCTGCTTCAAATGTACTTATGAAAAGCATATGTTTGAAATCAGTAGTTTATGACTGCTTAAAAAAAATCTGTGAGCCACTTGCTTGGATTGTTGTAGCCTGCTGCCTACATTGGAACTTCTTTTAATTGCACATTGTTTATGTGGATAGAGCTAACTTTCCTGACTGACATAATTTCAAATTCTTTTATAAGGAGTGAGCATGGAATCTGCTGGAGACATGGAGGAAATGGACATATCCAAGGCCAATGGAATGGAAAAGTGAGTTGTGTCCATCTCACTTCAAATACAAGCACTGAAGGGGGGATATAGGTAGTATTATGCAGCATTGCTGGTAAACTCCTCATTCTTAGCAAGGTTGAACATGTTAGTTAACTTTCAGTTAGTTAGCTTTGCTAACATACTTGTATATGAAAGTTAACTTTGAATAATTGCTCCATCCTGGCTTTCAGCAGACGGGCAGAAGAAAAAAGTGGCCAGATATTCAAGGAGCTCCAGTTCCATGATCCTGATGCCATGGGTGATATGGATGATCTCACAGGTGAGTCATATGTGTTCTGCAATTAAACCAATTGGATGTTACTAGCATTTGGATGCTCTCTTATAGCAAAGGTTTTGCTATGGATGGTTGATGCTTATTGGATTTGGTAAAGCTAAAGTTGAAGATAACGAAAAAGAAAATTTTAATGCCCAAGTGCACAGCTTTGAAGATCATTTGAATGTTCCTTCTTGCCATGCCACTGACAGGAGGAAACTTCAATCAAGGGGATATGCCCACTGCTGGTTTGTACATTTCAGGTTCCTCTTTTTCAGGCGTTGCATGCATTCATTAGATTGTACTTCATGCACTGTACTGTAAATGTTGTCTGTAGTCACCATTAACAAGTTGGTTTCTAGCACAGATGCCTTCATCCAATTTTGATAGGTTTTTGTTGATGTTTGCATGATAGGTATACAAGGAAGATTTTCTTCAATGTATGAGAGCCTGATACTATTTGCTTGGAAGCATGCAGGGAGTACATTACTTTTAATTGGCATTGCACAAGATATTCTGGAATCTCTGCTTGATTTTGAATTGACTTGCACAATTTGTAGTAACTGAGGTGACTGTGCTGTCACTGCTTAGGAGACAATATAAATGAAAGTGACCCTCAGGATCCCTGCACAAATTGTGGTGACAATTTATTCCTGGATCAGCAAAACAGTGATGAGCAAATAATTAAAGGAGAGTATCTGAGGTACATATGCCAATTTACTTGATTGAAAAAATTTTTAAAAGAATCTGTCAATATTGCTAACATCTCATTAATGATGTGAACAGTATCTATATTGTAATATATTATTTTTTATATCATCAATTAAAAATCATATCTTGTTTTGATCTCAAAGAATTTCCAATCTGAGATTGCTGGAAAATTAATCTCTGCTAGTAAAAACTTGTTTTAACTTCAAACACATGAGCATTAAGCTGTTCAACAAATGTGATCTGTCTCTTTTATGGAAGGCTTTGTAATTTTGGGGTGTAACAAAAAAAAAGCACTTTTAAAATATCTTTTTCTCATGAAAAATAGGACTTCGATGGTGAAAATGTTATGTATTTGATAGAGAATTTTTTTACAATCATTAATATCCAATATATGACCCATCTTTCTCCATGACCTTTTTCAACCACTTGGTCATAGATGAAGCTGGCCTTTTCAGCAAAGCATAGTCCAAGTTCTTCCATTCTTCTTTGATCACATTTGTCATTCCCATCGCAGTTTTGGGTTGGCACTGCCTCAGACCCTCTTGCATGATTGCCCAGAGGTTCTCCATAGGATTGAGATCAGGGCTGGGTATAGCCAACCCAAAACTGTGATGGGAATGACAAATGTGATCAAAGTAGAATGGAAGAACTTGGACCCTGCTTTGCTGAAAAGGCCCACTTCATCTATGACCAGGTGGCTGAAGAAGTTCTTGGAGAAAGATGGGGCATATATTGGATATTAATGATTGTTGAAAAATTCTATATCAAATACATAACATTTTCACCATCTAAGTCCTATTTTTCATGAGAAAATGATATTTTAAAAGTGTATATTTTTTTTTTACACCCCCTATCCCTACCCACATCAGCTGTTCTTTTTCTAAATTATATATGTTTATTATTTTGGTCTAATATACCATTAAATGTAAAATTTGAATTTTTTATGTGCAAGATTTACCATAGTTATTAAAGTTAAACAGCTAATGTTAATATTTGCTTTTTTCACTACACATTTACTGGTACATCCCAAATAGCCCTCATTAAAATGGTATATTTAATCTAATGCTCCTCGCTGTAAAGATTCATATGGCCTTACCTTTATGCAGAGAGGTAACGTTTTGAACACTTGATGGGTGAGATTTGCAAAATACTGATCACTTTCCTGGCATCAGTGCAAGACCAATCCAGCTACTCTGTGTATATATATTGGTTTTATTTCCACCTTTCAGTGTATGTAATAGCACAAAATGCATGAATAAATTTAGAATGGCCGGAAGGACCATGGTATTCATGGTCAACAATTTTAGCTGTTAGTTGGAATAATATCCATATTATTCATCCAAATATTGGTTTTGGGTTTTGAGATCTCATGTCTAAATTTCATGAACTCATTTATTTGATGGAATGGAACTATGCAGGTTTGGTATACTGCAATCATGGGTACTTCACAGTACAAGTAGACAAAACTTTTTTCCAGTTCCTGCTGATTAAAATTCTTTCACCCTACTTGCACACATTAATCAATAGCATCATTGGAGGAATTGGATGAATCATCTCTGTCCTTTCTGTATCTTCTAGATGCATTAATATCCTCAATTTTATGCTGTGTTATATCATTTGAATTCTCCATTATGACTCCTCTGTTTCTCTTTGCATGCCTGTGTCTCTCCTTTCAAGTTTGCTCTGTGAGTGATTCAGATGATGATATGCCCTTGCATGGAATGCATACTGGCACAAGTGACTATAATGGTATGTTTGTAGATTCTCTGCTCCTTTTCTTCCTCACTTTCATGGTATTCTCACTTTGACTATATACCATGATTCATAAAATTGGGACCCCCTAAATATTTTATTAGGACTCTTATATTTAATAGTCCACTTACATGAAATTATGAACAATTGTAGTTCAAAAACAAATAATCATAATGATAGTCACAACTCTTTTAGTAATCTCTTTGCTCCATAATGTTTACTCTGTCTTAAACATTTGATAGCATGCTTGTCTTCTTCACTGAATTTAATATTTCAGGGTATGCTACAACAGATTTATAATGACATCATTAATCATGATCATCATTATTGACTAACTACAAGTGAACTTTAATTTTAAACAATTTTTGGAAATACAGAACTTCTTTTATTAGGCTTGTCATATTTAAGATTTCATGTAAATGGACTAATAAATGTAAGAATCATAATAAAATATTTAGGGGGTCCTGATTTTATGAATCACAGTGTAGATGGTCATGGCTCGTCAAGAAGATTTCATGATAATTTGTAGCTAGTGCAATGTTGACAAATATCTTACATAAAGGGGAAAACTAAAGATTTTATCCTAGGTAAAGGGGAGGGATACAAACATGGAAGAATGACCAAATGAAAACTGGAGACAGACTGGGAATTGAACTGATGCTTCCTGATTACCTGTCAGGTATTCTAAGGCATTTCTGCACCAAAAGTCCTGGACACTCATTCACATTTTCATTCTCTTCTATTGATCCCATTTACTTTGCTTTTCACTTTTGCTCTTGCATGCTATGGAGCACATACTCAAAGTTGTATCATACTCTTGGCATGCATGATAGACATGCACTTTCCACATCATGGGTGACATCATTAGTCCCATGTGTACTCTGCAAATCAAAGACTTATGTTGCTTCTGCATTGCACACGGTCTAGATCAAGCTTCTTATGAAGTTCTTTTGTTTATTCTAGTGTTTCCTAGGATACTTTTTCATGCAAGAAAGAGTGCTTCTGCATTGGCTCTTCTGGAAAATGCTATAAGTCATCATCCATGGAGGCTGTTACATTGTGTGTCATGATTGATGAATTTAAATGCTTGTCCATTTTCATAGCCTTGAAGCTTGTACTATCTGCCTTTCTACATGTTTATCTAATTCCTTGTGATATAGAATGCCTTTGATGTGGGATCTCCAAAAGTGGAGTTGAGGGTATGGTTTTGATTGCTCTAAAGTTTAACAAAGTTGAATGAGAATCACATCCTGCACATGGCTGAATCTCATTGCAATTCTGTTATAAAAACAGATTCATAATGCATTTCTCTAAGGAGACATTTTTCCACAGAGCACATCTTAATATTAAAAAATTTGGAGGCTTTGTTGCCCAATTAAGACATTAATAGACATCCATTAAAGCATGGGATAACTTGAGTAAACCAAAAGCAACTGATGGATTATAGGTGTGCTGGCAATTAGCAAAAATGCATCCATAATCTTTGGAAGTGCTGCTCATGCCTGCCATGGTAACAAAGGCTACCTCTTGTTCATGACATTGAGATGATCTACCATTGATATCAAATGAGTCTTGGTGCTAACTTGTGATGATTTCTTGTTTTTCTTTTCTGTCTTGCTTCTGTCATGCCTCGGTTGGTGACCCAATAGCAAGTGACACATTCTTTGGTAAGCTGCTTGCTTTTGCTTCCCTCTTCTCTCCTTCTGGGTCTTTGAACTGTCAGAGATACCTTAGGCCTACAAATTTTTCTGTAACCCAACCATGATAAGCAAATGCCTGGATATAGGCAAAAAAAAATCACTATTGACTCCATGACTTCTTAACTGACTAGGCCTATGTCATATAATGCTTCTTTACTCATGCATCAAAATTGACATGTGTTTAAATTTGTTTGGTGTTCAAGCAGTGATTCTTAATTCCTAGTAACTGCTGAATTACCTTTTGATTGTTCACCCAGTCTGCCACTAGGTCTTGGATATTGTGCTTTTCCAGCAATTCAGTCCATTTGCTGAAATTGCCAGGCCAGTGAAAGACCAATCATGTTTGCGAAATTCCATTGGCATCAAATAACTTGGTAATTTATGTTAGCAACATGTTGAGGTGCTGTTGTTACTACTCTTGTTCAGGATAATTTGATCATGATTCAATGGGTTGATTCTGATGCTTCCAGTTCTTTCTAGCATTGCAGCACAGATTTGTTTGCCATTTCTTTTAAAATGTGTGGCTTCTGTAAATTGATACCTGAGACTGGGTAAAGTGAGATACCAAGGTTCTCACTCTGCAGGGAATTACAAAGAAAACTGTTGGTTGCCTGTGAAATATCTCTACTGATAGTAAGTACAAGATTTAAAATGCACCATTGATATAGTACCATACTAATTATAGGATCAAAGTTGGTGATGACCATAAGAGTGTTTTATTGAGTGATCACAGAGTGCAATAAATCACAGAGTGATTTACTGCACTCTTTTACCCTGGATTTCAGAAGGACATATTGTTGATGGGTAGCTGCCTACTTTTGTCAGCCCATTCTATATTTCCTTCTCTTCATGAGCCCCTTTGTGGTAGCTTTGGATGGCACAATCCATTGGTATGCCTCAAATCTTTTGAAAGGGTATATGACCCAATCGTGATGTAAAATGTCAATTTTCTTTGATGAGTTGAGTCAGATTTCACGATATAGGCATGATTCATGTTAATCTGAATAGAATATATTTTTGAAATGATCTGTAATTTGGAGGTCATGGTTTGATTTATGAGTTGCCTGCCCTCGAATCAAATGAAAATGGTTAGTGGCAAGTAGTAGGGTGAACAACTCATTGTTTCCTGTGAGCAGAGTCATAGTGACCTCAGGAGATGACCAACAATGACAGCTATTACTCACTAAGTTGAACAAATGGAAACATACCATGGTCACAGCATTGATGCATAATACTTGGAGCTTTCAAAAAATGAAACAACTTGGAATAAAATCATCAAAGGGATTCAAAGCTGTATACCAGTTTTCATGCCAAAATAATTCCTATTGACCATGTTTGTTGCCAGCAATCCTAGGTATTGCTGGTATTGATAGCATAAGCTTCTGTCAGGACAGATTCATAAAATCAAGTCTCAAGAAAATGTTTCAGAGGCCCAAAATAATATTAAGTAGTTCAATCTGGAAGTTGAGAGGACTGTACAAGAGCTGAAGGAACTCAGCATCTCTGTAAGTCTCCCTATCACTCGTGTGGTCTGGTTCGCCTTGTCCACACTCAGTGGGTTATTGCAGTAGACACTGCTTATTGTTGTCAACCAAATAACGTGATAATATCTCAAAAACCAAAACCAAATCCAATAACCAAAATGCTGCCACCTATTCTTGTCAGCTGTTTAATGTTATCAAGTCTCTTTGCACCTGATCACAATAAGCAGTGTCTACTGTACTACTTGCTCTATACGTGACAAACTGTGGTTGTCTTTGTATACTTGCTTACTAATAGGAAGAACTAGCAGGTGAAGCAGAGCTGTTTATTCATCTCTGAAGTTCTGAGGTTAAGCCTCTATAAGTACTTCATGACTAGCTTTTTTTTTCATGAAAATTTGGAGGGGTCTCCTATCACCGATTTACAGTTACCACACTAAACACAATTTCATTCTTGGTAAAAGTGTCTGGAAAGTAGTGGGAAATAGGTTGAATTATCTGGTATGCACCCTCTTAACCCTTTCAAGGGCTAAGTTACAAATTATGCTGCAAAATTATTGAAATCATAGGCTAGTTATGGTTCATACAATTAGGTACTAAAAGAATTTAGCAAATTTATTCATTAATTATAAAAAAACAGACATGATCAGTCATTATTTACTTGCAAACCAATCATGTTTCAAAAAACAAAACCAAACAATGAATCGCAAAATACTTACCTCAAACAGTTCTTCAGTTGTTGCCACAATCACTTTCACAGATATGTGTGTAATCTCAAAGTCTAAGTCAAACTAGTCAAACCACTTCCATGCACATACACATTCGAATGAGCGCTTCAACACACTATCTGTTGACTACAGATTTGTACAAAGTCCTAGAGTATAAAGTACAAAGTACTAGATAGTTCTGGGTGTGTTTTAAAAGCAATGATGCCATTTGGTATCATATGCCTAGAAAGGGTTAAACTATTTAATACTGTATTGATAGAATCTATTTGGTTCAACTGATTTATATGAATTTAATTTCTCTACAGGTATGGGAAGGGAGGTTGAAAATCTCATCATGGAAAACAACGAACTCCTTGCAACCAAGTGAGTATAGATACTATGAAAGTCACATAAATGTTCATGGTTTTTCCCTATAAATTTGTGGAGTCCATGCGCTACTTGTTGGGGTATTTCTTGGTTCAGTGTGAGCATCTCTTAATATTTGATTTAGTTTACCTGTGAATTTCATGTTTGTGTCACTTGTCACTGATGGATATGTTCTTATTGTTCATGAAGACTTTGAAGGTCTGTCCTTGTCGTGCCATTCATTGGCACAAGAACACAGGCAAACATAAATTTGCCATTAGTTATCAGGCATATCATCATGTCACCATCAAGACTATAGAGAATTATAGAAGTTATATGTGATTCTCTTTGTTATTAACAAGATTAGAATGTAAATCACTCAAGAAAGTTACAAGACTTATTGAAGTACGTAGTAGCCAGAAAGGTAGAAGCCAGGAAGGTGTGAGAATTGCACTGGAGATTTTGGAAACTGTCCCACATTACAAAGTTGCTTTAATATTCTGGGAAACAGTTGACTTCAGAGAAAGTAATCCAATTCTACAATTAAAATTGATTTCGTTTTCACTGTACAAAGTCACAATTTTTCTCATCTCATTCTTGAAAGATGCATAAAGTTGGCACCAAATGAGGAAACAGATAAGTGGGACCAAGGTTTGGAGGCTCGGGTCCTTATCCTTCTGTAACTAGTTGTGCACATAAAGTGCCAAATCAAAAAAATGGCAAGAGAGTGATTGATTTTATTTTTTCTACTTTCAGGAATGCTCTAAACATTGTCAAGGATGATCTGATTGCACGAGTGGATGAACTCACAAGGTGAGCACCATTCATGGACCAATGCAATTGCTAGGCATGTTGTTTTTCACTTAAAATACATGCTTGAAAGCTACATTTTTTCTGCTAATCAGTGAGCAAGACATTCTAAGGGAAGAGATCCAGTCCTTGGAGGCTGTGAAATCTCGACTGAAGATGCGGATTCAGGAGTTGGAAGAGGAGCTGAAGAAAGCCCATGAGGAACAGGAGCAGAAATCAAATCAGAAGCCTCCAGATGATGAAGTGAGTTTTTTTTCCTCATGAGGTAGGGACAGCTTATAATTTGCATCAAATGTTGCAGCATCATGTACAAGCTCTTCATTTCTTGTTCTAGTTACAAGTGGACAATATACAGTTGCTGTCATCAGCTATCTAATTCCATTGCCTATTTGATCTAAGCATGATGTTGTTCAACCAAAGTTCAGTATTTTATAACTTTTTAGTGTATTGTCATATATGATACAGACAAAATAATGGGCATTGAAATATGAATTGGAAAGACATGGAGTACCATGGAATGCCAGAATTGATAGATGTAGTAATAGATGTAGCAGAGGGATCTCCCTTGATCAACTCCCAAGCTTCCTCTGCATGATTGCAAGTTTACTTTATAATAAATGTTTAGTGGATTGAAGGTTCTAGAAATGAAGTAGATATCAATTTTCACCTACAGGAGGACTCTAGGCAATCAGCCAGGATATCAAAAGAAAGGATGCTCAAAAGTGGTCATGTTTTGGGAAACTATATCTTTGCTTTTTGCCATCTTTTTTGCATTGTGAGGAATTCTTGGAGACTTGCATGTCAGTCAATATTACTAGGCTGTTAGTGCATAGCCAATACTTTGTGTATTCTTGTACAAATATCGATATGTGCTTAATGGTGTGTGCTGGATGCATTGGTGATGGCATCACACTTACTGTTCTCTCAGGATGATGTACCAATGGCCCAGAGGAAGCGTTTCACAAGGGTTGAGATGGCTCGTGTCCTCATGGAGAGGAATCAGTACAAAGAGAAACTTATGGAGCTTCAAGATGCAGTGCGATGGACTGAGATGATGCGAGCAGCAAAGCAGGAAACTGCTGATCCAGATCGAAACAGGAAACAGTCCATATGGAAATTGTATGTGTATATCTTTTATCCTGGGGACTTCATATCTTGGAGTATGTGCTTACATTTTGTAATTGCCTGATTGTTGATTTTTCAGCTTCAGCAATCTCTTTAGTTCATCAGAGAAGCCTGAGAGAAGGCCACTGCCATATGGAAATATCCATTATAATGCTCCCACAAGTCATGTGGCACCTAATGTCGATCAGGTGCGCACACGACAACCAGGTGACCTCTCACCACCCTCAGCAGACTCTGATCCTGAAATGTGAGCATCACCATATATATATATATCCCAATCCCTATATATATATATATATATAGGGTCATAGATTATATGATTACATATATATATATAGGAATTGGGAAATTTCTACATAGGAGAATCACCTCAATCTGTCTTCATACTAGGAGACCGGGAATGGGAAAGTGGAATCAGAGAAAGGCTCTGGAAAGGAAGGAACAGTATCGACAGGTGCGTGCTCATGTGAAGCATGACAATGGTCGAATGCAGGCCTATGGCTGGAGTCTCCCTGCAAGAATCCCTTCCGATCCAAGCCAGGCTGTCTCAAGGTCATCTCCCAGTTCTAGTCCTAAGAAGGAGAAAGGGGGAAAGTCACATTCATCTCCTCATGTTCCTGTACCTGTGCCTGTCTACTGCAGACCCCTCACTGAAAGGGACCCTGGAATGAAGGTGACCTGCTGATTCATCCAACTAGCATGGCTTTTGTACAACCAAACTGAACTGATTATACTAGACATTGATTTTTGGCTTTTAGTTGGTGAGTAAATCTGACATTGAAACAAACTTATCCTACTTAAAAATGAACATTTTGTAAAGCAATACCTTTTTTAACATTGGAGCCAAACAAAGTCGGGACTTCTTGATAGGTAAACTGATGAAAAGAATGTGCTCACCAGAAACTAAGAGTAAATAAAAATTGATTCTGAGCTGTAAACATACTTCTTGAATCACATTGGATGTTTCCCATGAGCAAGGTGTCATTTCTCTTCTCATTGGGTTCCTTGGATAAAGATGTGGTGTGCAGCTGGAGTGAATTTGACTGGTGGAAAAACACGTGATGGTGGGGACATTGTGGGTGCTTCTGTCTTCTATTCTCAATTAGAAGAAAGTGGAGAGCATGTACTTCCTCCAAATGATGCAGTTGACAGTTTGGATCATGAACTTAAGGTAAAGTCCTTGCATGGAATCATTCTGTTAGCCTCTCATGTGCCCCATCTTGATATCTCTTTATCCACATGGCAGCTGACTTATTTGCTGTGCATTCTTCTACACTCAAAGGAAATGAGATAATAGTTACTGGTCATTGAGTTACTGCATGGGTGTTGGTTGCTTTTCTAGGAACATGAACGAATGAGACAAGAGGGAGAGTCTTTAGAGTTGCAACTCAGCTCCCTTGTATGGATCTGCACTTCAACACATGCAGCTAGCAAAGTGTCTGTGATTGATGCCAATAACCCTGCAGATATCTTGGAGGCATTCAGAGTCTGCTCCTCACGGCTTCTATGCATTGCTAGTGTTCCTGGTGAGCACAGTCATCCAAATAAGCTGTCCTCTTCTATAGTATGTAGCAAAGAAAATGGGAATATATGAATGCACAATAATGCAGAAAAGTGAGAACAAATTGGACAGAAAAAAGAGCATGAAAAAATATGCAATGAGTATTAAATAATGTATGAATGTGCAAAAAACAGGTTCTGTTCAAAACCTTTTTTTTTTGCAAAAATATCACCTGAAGTATGAAAAGAAAGTACAGTACAATAATTTTCTTTATTGGAATACTCTGGATAACAAAACTCACTGCTCCCTGGAGTATTCCATTGATGCAGAGTTTACTGTACATAATTGCAATTTTACTTGCACTTGTATTGGGGTGAGTGTTATAGCAACAAATGTTCCCAGAATTTAGATGACATTTTTATGCTTTCAGTTCCACTTGAAACATTTTAAAAATGAGTTTATGTTGCACATTGCTGGACAGACTAAATGAGCACTATGGACTCTGTCGGATGGGTACATGAACTCAAGTCCAAACAATGTGAAATGAATCTGAAAATGTAAGTGTGTTCAGTCCATTCAAAAATACTTGGATTGTCCATGAAGTGTGATGCGACTCCACTTTTATTTCTATGACAAACCAATTGGTGCATATTCAAACCCAAGCACTCTGAATTTGCTTTAAGAAAAATGAAGTTGGAGTGTGGGCTATTGCAATATAAAGTTTTTTGGATGTATTTAACTATACCTGTACATAATGTAAAGTCTTTTGTTGCACCTTCTGTATGGCTCAGGTGCTAAGGTGAGCGACTACCCTGTGCACGAGGAGTTGTCCAAGATAGCAGTGGATGTGACAATGAGTGATGAAGAGGCAACAGCTAGTCATGACAAAGGAAAGAAAGCCTCTGAGGAGGAGGCACACATTGGGGAGATCACTTTTGTCAGCTGTGCCACTGGGAGTTCCTCCGTCCCATCCCCTGTGCTTTCCGAGAGCCCCACTCATGAACATGATGGTCAGTTCTCTTGCTAGTGGTTTTAGATTGCATGGAACACATGGATATGAATTGCATGGATACAGGAAACTTAACATCATGTCACACTCCATTAGTTATATACCTGCATTGCCTGCAAATATTTACATACACTTTTAAACTCCATTGAATATTGTTCATGACTCCATCACTGAGAAGATTCTCCTTATCCCAAGAAAGTAAAATTTCATGTTTAGTATATTTGAGAAATATATGTGAGAAAGAGAAAAGTTTTTTTTTTCAGTACTTAGGGATCCCTAGACTTAAAAAAAAAAAGGCTTTATGATTTAGTAAAATTATTAACAAGAGCCAGGCACATTTGCCTTTTGTGCCACAATGTGCAGAGCTGTGCTAAAAATTCAAATAGCCTGGTCTGAGTACGTTTTTTCTGCATCTCTATAATTGAAAAGTAGAAGTTTTCCTCAGTTTTGCAATCTTTCCTTCCTTCAGCCTGGGCTGAAGGAAGGAAATGGATTTACCTACTAATAAACTTGTGAGAACAGGAAGACTTGGCAATGAAGAGAGGAAATATTGATAATTCTTGTCAGGAGTCTTATATCACAATGACAATGACTATGATGATGGGTCCAGTCCCACCATGAATTGTATGCATTCACAAGCCTGAAAGACTTAGATTTTTCATTTTCTTGAAACAGGCCTAGCAAGATAGGTACAGTAATTAACTGTTATGAGTTAGTTATTTATCATAACTGTTCCTATGCATAAATATAAATACACTGATCCAGTAGCATACCCAGGAAATCTCCATGGGGCCTGACATGAAAAATTAGTAACTCACCCTACATATAAGGCTAAACTAAAAAATTTGTTAGGGTTAAGTCTGTAAAGTGTAATCAAAGGGGGGGGGGGGGGCTCATGATCCCCAAACTCTAACCTTTGGGCACACCACTGCACTGATCTCAGTATGACTCATGCTAGTTTCATTCTTCAGTACCAACCATTGCAGATACCAATATATAGGAGTTGGTGGAGAAATGAGGAACAACAATAAATGAAAGGGTCATAGTTGCACAAGATCCTCTAAGTCTGTGCAGTGCAATGATCTAGGTTCAAATTTCAGAAAGGTCAGGGAGGCACTTATTGGATAAACTTAATTTTATTAATTTCAACCCTTGGAGATTATTATTACCACTACTGGAAAGATGAAAGGAGACATACTGAGAGGCGCATGCCATCCTCATCTGGGAGCTGATCCAAAGAGAGAGAAGAGAGCCTTATGGCCTGCTATGACCATGTTATCAGTGTATCCCAGATGAATAAGTTCTGTTATGAGTAGACCTTGCTTCATAGGTGTTCCATTATTACTCAGCATTTCTCATGAAAGTAATGTATTTTTGCAAGCCATGCTTTTAAAGTATATTTTTTTCAAACCATACTTTTACCCCCTTAACTTCCATTTCTGAGTTAACTCATTTTTCAGTTTTCCTATCAATTACTTGTGAATCCCATGAATTACTTATTTGAGTCCAATCTTGTTAAGTTTATGTTTTTGGAAAAAAAAAAACAAAACACAAAATAGATTCCCTATCACAGTGCATCCAAAAAGTTTATACATTTTGCAAAAAAAGCTTGGTGCACAGTGATTAAAAACTTAGGAGTTAATGGGTCCACGAAGTGTATTATCATCATGCGTTAATACTGCAAATGCATAAATAAATACTGCAAATATGTTTAAATACTTAATGTGCTAGTGCTGTAAATGTATTGGGCCAGGATAAAGTGCTTTTTCTTGTAGAACTCCCTGTATCTACAATAATGATCTCTGACTATGGAAAACATTTTATTCTTATTTTTCTACCAACTCTAACTGCTGAAATAGCATGGAAAGTGGGTTTCTTTACCACCAATTTTAATTTAACTTAGATGGTGTGGAGAGACCCACATTGAGGAAGCTTTCAGCAGAAAAAAGTGAGTGTGACAGTTGCATTTATGATGGACTTCATTTGAAATTTAAATCCATTGGTTACAATATACCTTTCTGAATTAAACAGTGGAAGAAGGAGAAGAAAGCACAAGAGAGGGGGAAGGAGAAGAACATGGGTCCCTTTCATCTCCTAAGGAAGAGACATCTCCTCCCAGGAGACGCCTCTTAAAGGAGCCTCAAGGCCTTGTCAAAGATGGCCTTTCTGAACTTCCCAAAGGTAAACTTGTCTTGTAAGGATGAGTTGTATGTACAAACAGGTATATCTTTGTTGCTATGAAAAAGAATGCAAAAAACTTGACTCTGACTGAGGAGTGAAAAATCTACCACTTCGTGGTTTGTCAATGGGTAGTAATTTTGTAAGGGCTTGTTGGTCATCTGTAATCTTAAAAAAATGTGGGAATTTCCACTCCTATGTTTCTAAGCTGACCTCTGTTTCCCTTACATCATACCTGGTACCAATTCCATACCAGAAACAGTATCACAAGGAACTTCACTGACAAAGTGCCTACTCATTAGTCATGGAAATAATCATATGTGGATAAACAAGAATAGAGTCCATTTTGAATCTCCAGGTAGAAGTAGGTTACCCCAATGAAGTTTCCCTCATAACTAAAATTGTGCTTTTTTTTAACATGAGATTTTAGTTCAGTGAATTTGTTGTGCTGTTGTGTACTGTTGAATACAGAGTAGGTTCCAGGTTTGATACTAATGAGTATTGAACTGGTTACAAGCAAGGCAAAAATGCTTCACCTCAGAGTCACAAGAAGTTGGCAGGAACAAACTCAAAGAGAATATGCTTTTAATTAATTTAAATGTGACATTTTGACTCAAATATGAATTACACAGAGCAAATCCATCTCCCATTTATTTCTTACTAGCAGAGGTACCCAGCATTGCATGGGTGAATATTGTATACATCCCATATTTGAGGATTTAATATTGTTTTAATGTCTCTTTGGCAAGCCAGCTAGAAATTGTCTAAAATATCTAGCTTTTGCTACACAACCAATTGCAAAATTCCAGTAGCAAGCTGCATGTTGCAACTTAAATTTGTTTATTGAGCCCAAAATGTTGACTCCAAGTTGGTTCTGTTGTTGTGAATTGGCCAAATCTGCACTAAAGAAGGTACCACAGGGGATTCAAATTTTGAAACACCACCTAGCCTATGACCATCCCCAGACCTAATGAGGAAGCCATGCAAAGTTTAGTCAGACTGGAATCAGAGGCATGGCCATGCATAAAGGTCAGACACACACACATAAACACTCTGAAATATAATATTGTAGATTGTTATTACAGTTGTCACAGAGTGTAAAATAAGGAATCAAAGGGACAGATATGAATTCTTCATCCCACATCTTCATCTCTCAAGCATGGACGAAGAGAAGGTATCAAGCATCAAATCTCTTTATATTTGTGAGGATTCTATCTTCACATATATAGATGTAGAACTACAAAGCAGGGACTGCTCACATGCAGAGCTATAGTACTAACCCACTCGCTGTCTGGCCCATGAGGAACTGGTTGAAGAGAGTTCATTTGCCATGTAAACTTTCCTTCTTCAACAGAGGAAGAATCTCACAACTTTTATCTCTGTTCTTGCTTGTATCTTCCAGACAATTTAGCAGCATATGAGAGGATGGAGAAGATGACAAGTGTCCTTCCAACAATGTGGATGGGAGCCCAGAATGGGGGACTATATGTGCATTCTGCTATTTCCCAATGGAGGAAGTGCCTGCATTCTATTAAACTCAGGGATGCTGTTCTTTCTATTGTGTGAGTTCCTCCTTATGCTTAAGAACTGCTTAACCCCTTTGGTATGGAGTTTTTTGCAAGCCATGCTCCCTCCCAGCCAGTTATTTTGGGGGTGTGCTCACTCAATGCTCAGCTTGGGCTTGAAACATGCAGTATCTGCTGGTAAAATTTGTTGAATTAAAAGTTGCAATCCTTAGTTAAACCCACCAGATTAACTTTGTTAAAAGTGCAGGCATTAAAGCAGTGATGAGCAACCTTTCTTGACTACGGGCCACAAGTGAACCTTTTAGGTTCAAGCAGGATGCATGTATTTATTTATTTGTATTTTTTAAACACTGAATCACAGGTTGAACACCAAAATAATCCTATGTTTGACGTAGTAAACCATGTACTAAATTAGTAGATGCCAACAATATGCCACATGTGAAAAATTTATCACCACTTATTGAACAAAATACCAAGCAAGCTCAGAGAGCAATAATACACTGACCAAGAAAAGAGTGAGGGGATATTTGCAGCTGTGGTGGAAATATAGTTGTTTAACTTCTTGCTTCTGTTTCTCCAGCAGTGGGTAATGGAATCACCGAGCGCACATGAGCTCTACTCCAGATGGGAGATAATTTTATTTGGAAAAAAATAAAATTAAGCTGGCAAAGCCCCGCAGGCCGCACACCAGGGCCTTGCGGGCCACATGCAGCCTGTGGGCCATGGGTTGCTCACCACTGCATTAAAGGGTTAACTCAAGGACACCCATACCATTATGAGAGTGATTTCTCTCTCCCCCCAACCCCCTCATATTTGGTATGGGTGCCAAATGTCCAAAGAAAAAAGAGACTAATCATTTGCATTTTCATTTCTTAGTCATGTGAAGGGAAGGGTTTTGGTGGCACTGGCAGATGGGAGTGTGGCCATTTTCCATCGTGCCGGTGATGGTCAGTGGGACCTGCACAATTACCACCTCCTGGACCTGGGCAAAAACCATTCCATCCGATGCATGACCCTGGTGCATTCCAAGGTCTGGTGTGGGTTCCGCAATCGTATCCACGTTGTAGATCCCAGAACCTTCGTTGTTGAAGTAAGTTCTCTTGGAATGGTTTTGTGCAGATGACAAACTCTCATAGATTGCCATTAATCTATGAGTACTCATGAATGTTGATCACAGCCTGGCATTTTGACTCATTAGGGTATGTCTCCTAAAAAGCACTCATAAGTCACAAATCTCTATGGCTGGTCATAAAGACTGTTAGTGTCTTAGTTGACTGATGAAAACGATTATGATGTGAGTCTCTTGGGATGCCTTATGGAGAATGACCATTCGCCAAGAGGCAACCTGCAGTGTGATTATGCAAAATATCACTCTGGTAACTAACTGCAATTTGATAATTTTTTAATTTGGAGGAATGAGTTGTAGACCAGCTTTTTGGTAGTGGTTTTCCAATTTCCCATTATGCAAGAGCATAGAACTTCATACCTTCACATCCCTTCAAAATATTCTCCCTCAACATCCACCCACTGTTCTATCTTCATCAGCCACTCATTAATTAAATCCAAAGTATTTAAAGATACTCTTGTTGGGTCTGAATTGACACTGGGCAGTTGTACTTTCAGAACTCCCATCAAGTTTGATTTGGTGGTACTGGAAATAATCATATGGCAACTTTCACTTGTTACCTCTCAGCAAAAATGCCTCCTAGTTAATGCTTGCTGAAAGGTTCTGCTCTTTACAATCATGATATGGCCCAGGGTATCAATTTAAAGCAAGGATGTATGACTATACCTCAGTTGACTATCGTGAATGCTTTATTACGTAGTGCTTTAATATATTGAAGGGATCCAAAAGTATAAAGAATTTGGCTTTTGTAGGTGATGGAAAGTAAAACGGCATCACCAAAACTTAGTAGATATTGCTTATTAACTCAGCTTATAATTCATTAGTAGCATGAATGAGATTTTCCCATCACAAATGAGTGAGAGTCTTCCACTGTATGTTTTTATTTCTCTTTAAAATTTCCAAAAATAAATGTTAAGGAGCAATGAAGCTTCCTTGAAATCTGAATCATTTTTAGTTTGGTTTTAGTGAACAGCTTTAAATAAATGCACCTAAGTAAAGCTTAAGGAGCCTGCAATTGGGAGAATAACCTGGGAAGAAAATGTAGCCTGCTATCCTTAATCAATCATCTGTGTTTCAGAAATCATTTGATGCCCACCCAAGACGTGAGAGTCAGGTTCGGCTGATGACCTGGGTTGGAGATGGGGTGTGGGTGTCCATCCGCTTGGATTCCACCCTTCGTCTCTACCATGCACACACTCATCAGCATCTTCAAGATGTTGACATTGAACCTTATGTCTCCAAAATGCTTGGTATGCATCTGCAGAGTGAACTCTGCATTAAGACACCAACTAAAGTCAAAAACTTTTTTCTCCAAGTCCCTATTGTCATTTCTGAGGGTGGCTTTTGTTCAAATTCCCTTTGAAAACTACATAAGTTTTCCCTATCCTTCCTTTATGTGATAGCCTTCAAACCACACTTAATCCTTTCTTTTAACCTGAATCCCACTGACATAATCACTCAGCCTGAAAAAGGAAAAAATTAGTTTCATGTTCCAGTTCCTATAATGCATTTATCAATATTAAAACCATTGGATTTTTAACACAAGTCAGTGAAGTTCTTTCTCAGAAACCCTGTATATTGCAAATAGTTGAAGGTGATTCCTATATCATTTCTTTGTGTGTGAGTAATTAGAGTATTATTGGAAAGTATCACTATTGAAATTATCAGTGTCACTTTTGGTCAAATTTTTATTTGATAGGTTTGTTTAATTACTTGAATTAACTCAATGAAGGAAGCTTTCAAGTCCTTGACATGCTTTGTGGATTTCTTCTCAAGTAGTTGCCATGTTTTGCATTTTTTGGCAGCATGCTTTGCTTGCTAATAGCTTATTTCCCCTTTTTTCAAACATGATGGTTTTAGGAACTGGGAAGTTGGGATTCTCCTTTGTGCGAATCACAGCCTTACTCATCTCCTGCAACCGACTATGGATTGGAACTGGAAATGGAGTCATCATCTCTGTTCCTCTATCTGAAAGTGAGTGTCTATATTTTAACAATTTAAATTTACTTAAGTGCTTACAGACCTTGCTCAAGCAAGAAAATGAGAAATATCAATGGCATAAGCATGCAAATTTCCCTTGTTTTCTTTAGTCATAGATCTTTTACTTTCATGATAACAGTCTATAATACGAGACTCATTGTAATTAATTAAAATAATAAGGTTTTTAATGGACTTAGAGGTTACACACCCAATGCAATTCAATATAAAAATTTAATATTTTTCATTATGACTGCATTTTGCTAAATAAAACATTAAAATAATACTTAAATATTACTGTAAATGCACCTACCAAGTGTGAACAATCAAGATGTATGCTTTTTAACATTTGACTGACCTTTGTACTGCATACCAGGTATTTTATATTACTGGCTCAACAGTTCAATAATACCTACTTTTCTCCAACATGACACAAACTTGTTTCAAAGTAAGAAGTATTCCAACATGTCAATATAAAGCTGGAAGTACTTCAAAATGATTGTCGTCATGGATTGATCATGAGCTCCCAATATATTGTAGAAGTACTTTGAATGACAAGGAACACCACCATGGTGTCAACTCAAAATATCCCACTAGCCATTCCCCCCCATATAACTGTGCTCATTGACATTAATGTTGAACTGGAGTTCCTGACACTTTGAATGTGCCTGTTGGCATTCCTGTTGAATGCAAAAGCATCATCATGCAAGTGCAATAACAATACATCCTCTGGAATGGAATGTTTGTTCTGCAGCAAGCATGGAGAAAGCAATGGAATCAGGATCACAGGGATCAGAAATGAAGCTGCCAGGTGCAGTGGTGCGAGTGTACAGTGATCCCAAGGACCAGGTCACCCCTGGCTCCTTTATTCCCTTCTGTTCAATGACTCAAGCCCAACTCTCTTTCCATGGACACCGAGATGCTGTCAAGTTCTTTGCTGCTGTACCAGGTCTGTTTCATATCCTCTCCTTTTTTCATTTTCCTCTCAAGTTTCATTCATACCTTCAGCTTATTTTTTGCCTCTTCCTTAACTCTAATTTTCAAGGTCATACATGGTTATTGAAGCGGAATAGACAATGCACATATAACTAGGGATGTTATTGATGAGGGGATATGAACATCAACTTCTTATATATCAATATCCAAGAAGTTGATATTCAAGAGGGGTCCAATATAACCAATACGGATATACCAATAATAAAATTTGATTTTTTTTAAGTTTAGATGGCATGAAATACTTTGGCAGTGAAACTTAAATGCTGTTTGCATAAAATTTGGTTGCATTTAGACCAGAGCACCATATATTGACATATGAAGATATAAGGTTAGGTCTTTAACAAGAACTGTGTTTCAGACCTTTTTGCAAATGTTACTCAGAAGAATATGGCTACCAATTTGGACACTTTAGCATATTATTGAAATTTGGTATACCTTTGAGCAAGTACTGCATCAACATGGTTCAGCCTGCCTGATTCTACAATTTCCATTTGATCTTAGAACAAGTTCATGGAGCATGAAGGTAGCATAGTTTGAGGTTGTTGACAGAAATGGAAAATTTCGCTTCAGATTGATGACCCCATGACACATACTAGTCAACTCATGCAGAAGAAATGCCTTTTCCTAATCTATGAAATCTTTATAAGACTGATGAAGTAATATATTTTAGGTTTTAATTTAATGAGTTATTGTATAAAAATTTTGTCCCACTAAAGCTGAGGAAGGGGGGTGTGGGCTGATTGTACTTCTCCACATGCCTCACTGATTGTATTGTAATTGTAAATAGAAAAGTATTGTAAATAGAAAAGAACTATGTTAGTGTGGCTTAGTGGTTTGATGCTGGAATTCCCCTTTTCCAAGACTGTTTCTGGACTACTCATGCAAATTATGTTTTCCATGCAATCCATAGTGTCTCTCTTTTATGCTATGACATGCATTCTGCAGTTAACACCATCCATGGTCAGAGACCATAATTATCCCTGCCTCAGTTACGAAAAATCTTCTTTTTTCCCCTCCTATTCCAACCCCCAGCTCTCAGCTACAAATAAGGTTTTTCTTAACTGGCACAGGGATAATTGAATCCTGTTTTAACCCTTTCAGACCTGGCATCCATTCCAATGGACATTGCATTTACATTGTGTCTATGGCAATTTCTTAGGATTCTCTTGACTTTGCACTCCATATTATGCTACAATGGGTGCAGTTATGCATGGCTTAGTTCTATCAGACGCTTTCTTTTATCCCTTGGCTTTGTAATCTTCAATTATTTAATTAAATGTATAATATATCATATATGTTATGATATCATAAATTTATGCAAAATACAGGGCTAGTCAAAATGATTGCAGCGGTTTCAGAAAATTACTACAGGTTTATTATTTGACATATACTTACAAGATTGCGCAGATATATAAACAAAGAGTGAAAGTATTTTTTAGTGTTTACAGATGCTCAATATGTGCACCTTTAGTGACTCTGCACACATCAACTCTATAATCGAGTTCTTCCCATACTCGATGCAGCATGGCTCTGTCAATGCAAGCAAACGCATTGGTGATGCGAACCCGCAGGTTTGGCAGATCAACTGGTACTGGTGGCACAAACACTGAGTCCTTTACAAAACCCCAAACAAAGAAGTCGCAGGGGGTTAAGTCGGGAGCGAGGAGCCCATGACATCAACTGAAGATCAGCATTCCCAACACGACCAATCCATCTGTTTGGAATCCTGGTGTTTAGGAAATTACGGACTCAGTGTTCGTGCCACCAGTACCAGTTGATCTGCCAGACCTGACTTTTTGGATTGCAACACTCACATCTTTAAAGCGGATAAAACAAAACCGATTCCGAGGGACTTCAAAGATTCAAGCCCTTACCGAGCGTTCACGACATGAAGCCGATGATATTTACCATGTTTTCAAGATCTTTTCATGCTTTCGATCTTCCAGCTTTGGTACAGAAATTCTAAAGCCAGACGCAACGCCGTGAGGGAACGGCTGAACGAGAAAAAACGCTTTTCGTTTGACTGCCTCAACAACAATTTCACTCTGCAGGAACTAACCACAAATGCAAAGGACACCTTTGGATGAGTGCCCCAAGTTAGCGTAGACATCGAGAAGCGACAGCTCCTCCAACAAGAAGCCGAAAACCCGTATCTAGGAAATGATTCACGATGAACTGGAACTGGCCAAGCACCTGTCTCTGCCTTCAAAGGATTCGGGATCAGTGACGTAGAGAAGGGGGGGTTAGGGGGTTAGAATGCCCCCTTGAGCTTCCTGGTCAGTGACTTCAACCTAGCCTCAACCCCCCCCCTTGCCGATTTTCTGCCTACGCCACTGTTCGGGATGCAAGTCAACTGGGTTACACTCAGCTCTTTCCAAAGTGGAACGTTCGATCTTCTCATGTGAGAAACAACTATTACACTAGATCCCCTGGGTGAGGCGAGGTTTCAGAGCAATTCTTTTTCCCAATGCGGAGAAAAAGCAACGAGTTCTTCATTTCCCTTGTATCCGGTTGTGCATTAAATAAAAAGACGTTCACTTTGAGAATGAAACCTCTGATTCCAGTTATATCAGTTCATACAGGAGAGAAATTTGGGGGTGAGTCAGAGTCCTCTAGGATTCGGATCACAAACTCAACGTCTCGAGTTTCTTCCAGAAGATGTCAACATGAAATGTTCCATTATTATTATTATTATTATTATTATTATTATTATGTATTTAATATTATGCATTTAAAATACATATCCTGCCGGCCTGCTTCCCAATATCAGCGATGGACCTTCCCGTGAGGGCTTTCAGTCCACCCCGTCATTCCTGGGGGCAGGCGGACAAGTGTGAAAGAAACCCTGACGCCCCCAACAAGGGCGGTAAGCCAGGGTCCTTTAGTCTGCCAAGTGGGCCCGAAGAACACGAAGAGAGCCCAGGATCACCTGCTTTTGCATGGTTTTGGCCAGAGATGGAGCTACTGGCCGACAGGCTGGAATTATTTCCAGTGCCGACAAGACGGTGTCCTTCATCCCTCCGAGGCACCCGATAATTACGACTACGAGCACGACTTTGTGACCAGGATATGATTGTCGAAGCTCGAACATTTTTGGCCAGAGATGGAGCTACTGGCCGACAGGCTGGAATTCTTTCCAATGCCAACAGGACTGTGTTCTTCATCCCTCCGAGGCACCCGATAATTACGACTACGAGCACGACTTTGTGAGCAGGATATGATTGTCGAAGCTCGAACATGAGGTCTAAATATTTAGCCCTTTTCTCTTCTTCCTTTACGTTGATGTTTTTCTCGCCTGGACAGGAGAACTCAATCACGTAGAGTTGTCTTGCCTCCTTGTCCAGCAGGGCGATGTCCGACTTCGTGGCCGTCAGCTGTCTCGTCGTAGGAAAGTGTTATTCCACCAGATGCAACAGGTGGTATTCTCCACGACAGTGGCGATTTATTTTTCTGCATACGGGAGAGCAGGTGTTCTATCGATCCCGTATGCGTGCCGAAGGTGGTAATATAATACACGTAGAGCGGCGTTATGGCGGTGGATGTAGCCTTTGGGGGCGTAGGTGGGACAGGCCGACAGCAGGTGGAACAGGGTTTCCGGATGGGTCCCACAGGCCCGACATGTGATTGATCTCAAGTCCTCCTTCAGGATGGACTTTCGGTACCATAATGTAGGTAAAACGCCATCCTGAGCTGCTGCCAAAAACCCCTCTGTCTCAGAGCGTAGGCCAGATGACCTTAGCCATGTATGGGACAACTCCAGAGACAGCCCATGGGTATGGATTGCCTCGAAGTACTTGCCATGTAAAGTCTTCTGGAGATGGCCTTCCAGAAGCAATTGAATTTCGGCCAAACGCACGGGGCGTTTGACCGTACGAATGGTGGCATCACGTTCGTTGTTGGATTGAATATTAATGTCCTCAAACAAACGGTTGCGGTCCAGTATCCAGCACTAGCCCAAGAGATCTTGCCGCTCGTTCCACAGTCTGGAAGAGAAAGGATCCCGTATCCACGCGCTCGTGAGTAATCACAAGGCTTAGGAGGGGGGTCGTCTGCATTTGTAAGCAGCCGAACAGCAGTTCCGATAGTCACACGATCGTGCAGATGCCTTACTCCCAGCAGGCCTCTCCCACCCTCATCCCGCGGAAGGTATAGACGCTGAACGGAAGATTTAGGGTGGAGACTACGGTGCAAATTCATGGTTTTCCTGGTTGCGCGATCCAAATCTTCCAGTTCTTTGACGGTCCAATGAAGGACACCAAAGGTGTAGACGAGGACAGGGATTGCAAAGGTGTTGGTAGCCATCACCTTGTTGCGGGCGGAGAGCTCTGAGCTCCATATCCACCTTAGACGACGCTTGTATTCCCTATTGAGGGCCGATTTGATGGTACTCACCTCCTGGGACTGCCGTTCTGGCACACCAAGGTAGGTGTATGGCTCTTCTGCGCTGAGATGGCGGATGACAGTTCCATCAATCAAGTCCACGTCTTTGCCTATGTCAACTACCCTGCCCTTCTTCATCTCCAAGATGACACATTTGTCTATCCCAAACTCCATTCCGATGTCGGTGGAATAGGAGTGTACTACTGAGAGCGTATGGTGGAGACCCTTCTCAGTTGAGGAGTACAGCTTTAAGTCATCCATGAACCACAGATGTGTTCCGGTGTACTCTTGCACCAGGTGGTCCAGCGTTGTACCCATCGCAATCTCGAAGCAATATGGTTAGCGGAAGCAATGAGATGCAGAATAGCATGGGACTCAGAGTCACCCTGAAACACTCCGCGTTGGATGCTCACCCAGTTCGTTAGGGAAATTCGACCGTCCACCGACAATGCGAACCGTGTCTTCCACAGTGGGAGGAGATTTTCTATGCATGTTCTGAGTGATGGGTGGACACGAAGGCATTCCAACAGCACTAAAAGGTGTCTGTGAGAGGTGGTATCAAAAGCCTTTCGGTA